ATAAGTGTAGATTTTATATAAAATTTTAATGATCCTCGTATAATTTTAAATTATAATTGGTTAATTGTAATATAATCATTATAGATAATATGTTCTTATTTCAACATATATGATATAATTATTATATCATATCATGTATCAAATTTTAATAAACAAATTAAAAATATATAAAAATTAATAAAATTTTGATCAAATCTACTGAAATTGGTTTCATTGATCATGTGCAAGCCCTTTGATATTAGATTTTATGTATAATTTAATTTCGGAAAAGGTTTTAAAAATTTTAATTTCATACAAAGAAATATTTGCTTGAAAAAGTAACCTTTCAAAGCTTTCTACCATTAAAAATAGCAACCAAATCAATATAGTGGAAATTATACGGTTGTATTTCTTTTATTTATTTGTGTATTTTGCTCGAATGAAATTGTTGCCAATGGATAGATATAAAATGGACAAACAGTGATATTACTATACTAACAATACATGAACAGTGCAGATATTATACTAACAGTATATGAATAGTGCATGGAAATTTGTGCCGATAATTATGGTTAAAGAAGTCGGAGAATTCCCATAATCCACGTCATAGTCATGGAAGTCAAGAACATGCCGTGCTAAAATTGGAGTCATTTTATCCAAATATTAGGTTTAATATTTGTCCTTTTTATTTGAAGATTCAAGATCGTTTGTCTCTTACCTAAATAATAATAAATAAAAGAAAAAGTGGTGTTACTTTGTGTAAGCTACTTGCTAGCTAATAGTAATTCCATTTGTAGAAAGGCTCAAAATGAATTAATGTAATTCGTGTAAGCATAGCAATAAAAAAAAAAAATTTACTCCTTCGTTTTTAATGTGAACCCATAGGCCAGAATTAAATTAGAAGACTAGTTGACTATCGTGCGAAAGGAACTGGCACAAGCCGCAGTTGAATTTTCCCGATCTATGAGGACCAAGACTTTTGGAAGGTTACTAAGAGAAGGTCCAGTTGAATGACGAAATCTAGATGGTGTTAGTGGAAGATTTTGTTTTTTTCTTTTTCCGTGACATAATTTTCCATGGAGCAATTAATTCACTTGGAAAATGTAAGTGGTGGGGATCCTTTTCATGTCTATATAAGGTCTAGAAAGTAGGGGTTTTGGCAATAGAGTTTCGGCCTTCCTTCAATTCTTCACTTTTCTTTTGTACCGTCTCTCTATGTCTCTCATGGGGAAATCCTATTTAGCCGGTAACTTTGGTTTTATGGCTTCAACATTGCTGCT